TTTTACCTGGACAGGTTTCTGATGTTAAGATTAAAGAAATGCCATCTCAGCGTTCCGATGCCATCAGAGGAAGGCTCTTTGCATTTCCTAGGTGCCTGATGACTAATTCTCTCTCTGGGAGGACACTTTGCACCCAGCAGGCAGAGCGACTCGCCCCCGGCACAGGCACCATCGAGGACCATGCGACAGGTAAGACGATCTCCAGGTGCCTTTTTCAGGATTAAAATCGAGAATCTGTATTGGCTCCTCTCGGGGCAAGAGAGACACGTAACTCTGCTCAGAGATGCTGCCTCTGGACCAGGAAGGGAGCAGAACATACGTACAAACATCCTCCTGGGAGACTTGAGTGGCGTATTCATGGCGTTCTGTCCTCTGCCCAAACTACCCTTTCAACCTTGCCTCCTACAACCCCCTGACATGTCCAGAGCCTTCTCTTGAGGTAAACTGGGTTTCTTCCTTTTCCCTGTGTGTAGGAGGCAAACCTCCATACCTTAGCTTCCTGCCCTTCCCACCGCCTGGAAAGCGCCACCTGCGCCTGAATACGGCAAGTCCCTGCTCCGGGGCTCAGGCTCCCCAGCTGGGGAGACCGCAGCTAGGCCGTGAGGCCCAGTGCCAGCCCGTCCCCCCTGCCTCCCGGGAGCAGCCAGCTTGATCCATCCCTGCCTTTCTCCAAGTAGGACTTAGCCGCAGAAATCACACAGCCTCCCTTTGCCACAATCGTTTGTCAAGGAAGTCACCCCTGTTGCCCCGTTTCAAGGGGAAGAGCAATAGACTTTGCTTCTGATGGAGGAATGACGAGGTTCCAGAAGAGCAGGTGGGACTGGACACATGGCTGCGACCATTTTTGGAAAAAGACAATCTACCACAGACCTTGTCACACTTTCTCCTGCAAGTGAGTCCGTTGTACCCAACTAGTGCTGCAGGGAATCGGCCAGATGTGAGCCACGGGGTTTCGGACCGAGAGCTCAGTTGGGTGGCAGAGAGACGCCCTGGTGCAGTGACAGCCAGGACTGGCTGCAAGTTGCTTTCCCAGTAGGGAAAGAAAGGTCCCATCTCCACCATTGAAGAGGCTCGGTGGATAGCCCAGGAGCTGCTGTTTTATTAATTTTCTGACCAAGAGCTGAAATTCTGCTGAGAGACTCCCTGTCTTGCTGAAGTTTACCTTCCAGGTTATGTTTATAAATGCAGATACAAAGCCGTTGCTTCGGTATGGAAGGATATAACCGTCAACAGTGGATCCTGGAAAAAGGGCAGGGAAAAAGGAATGTGAGGAACGGGGAGTGAACTGGTGGAAGGAACTTTACTAAGCTCTTCCATTTACCTTTGCCAAGGGAGCAGTCTTGGTTGATAGCAGCTGGTTCTTGGTAGGCAGAAGCAAGCGGAACAATCTCCAAGCAAAGACATAATGAAAAAAACCTGTGCCAACATAATTATCGTCAGCTTTCTGCTGTCAATAATACACAATTTGATTTATTTCCACTAGGAAATATGCATTTTACTCCTATTATGTGCCTATTTAAAGTCTGTGAGGAGCACAGGTGAAATTGATAGCAGTTATAGTTCATTTTGATTGTTCAGATAAACACATCTCATCAAAATGTTTAGCCTATACGTGGGTTCTGAACAAAGGTAAAATAAAAACATGCAATGTTTAAAATTAACCAAAATTATTTTACATGTTGTCTAGGGTTCAAAATTTAAATTATAGTAATAAAAATCCCTTTCTTCTTCACCCCTATTCTTCAACAATAGCATTTTTTTTTCATTTCAAACTTCTTAGAGTTTAATTTTCTTTTTCAATGGTATTTTGGAAGATGGGACTATTACAACTGAGGGTCCTTATAAAGACCAACAAAGGCAAAATATTACCAAAAAGTCGGACCTTAATGTTTCATCTCTCCAGTTATATAATACATTTATATTGCTTACTTGTAATTAGATTTATTTTTTCTTGTTTTAATTTTAAAGAAAATAGGCACCAAAAGGCCTAACTCCTTGCATAGAAGATGCTCAAGAAACTTAAACACCCTGCTTCATCAATTATGGCCATCATCACCACTAGCGTCCTCCACACTTAGGCTTGATTGAGTGGCTCCTTTGTGCCAAGGACAATGATAAGTGATGAGGGGGACACAGGAACAAAATAGGACACTCACCTCCTGCCCTGCCCGTCCCGTGATGACACACTAACTACAGTGCAAGTTCGAAGATGATGATAGCCTGCACTCTGGAAGTCCCCAAAGTGGGGAGACTGAAAAGGAATGTTCTTCAAGAGGAGAAAGTGGCGGCTGAGCTGGCCTGGAAAGGGGTTCTATAAAAATGCCATCTTCTCAACAGTTTCTCAACCTTCCCTAGAAGCATTGCTGTTACTGTTCATTAATTATTTAGCTATGTGGAATGATTAATGTGTAATGCTTTCCTATGGAACAGACTTTCCCAGCGAGTTCGACTACACGTCCACGTCGTTTCAGTTTAAGGAACTGAGCTGTATGTAGTGGAAGGAGGCTGCAGAAGCTCTTCAGTCCTGGTTCACCTTGGATAGTATTTTATGCAAATCTTTTAAAGACGTACAGACTGGTACACTTTACCATCACATTCTCTCATTGTGCAAGATGAAGAGGAGCAATAACTCAATCCATATAATGATCACAATTCAGCCCTCCAACCAGGACAGTAACTGAGTAATTGAGGCAAAGTTAAGTTTTCCTCAATTATTCAGGTAATTGCTTTGCATTATAGGACCATTAGAAAGATGTTTTTTTTTTAACCCAAATAACAGAGAAGGAGAAAACTTTAGGCAAGGGAAAAGTTATGTCTGAAACACTGAATAGGTGATTCTGAAGGCAGGAATACCAAGGAGAGTTCTAGTAACGCTTTTGTATTCTGAAAGAGAAAAATGATTTCTAGGAAAATGTTTATTTGCCCCACCTCACCACTTTTTATTGCCTCTATGTTCTCTTCAGCTTTTCAAGTCCAGCGACTGAATGAAATAATTGTAAAATCTATGTCATAGCAGACTCTTTCTTCTGCCCCCTATATTCAGTATTTATGGGAAAGTGAAAAATATTAAAATGCTAAAAATATGAACTTATTTTGCCACAGGTCACAAACAGCATGAGAAAATATTACATTTTTTTAAAATTCAAAGTTATATGTGCACATAAGAATCACACATGACACATACATATATCACAGTAACTATCTGAAGTCTTAAAACAAGGAGGAATTAACACAAATAGAAACTCAGGTGAAGAAGCCTAACTTACGGGAAAGACGAGTTCTATTTTATGCAGGTAAAATTTGAAGTAGTGATAGAGTGTTTAAGTGTTATATCAAGACACTATTTGAAGAGAGGTTGGCATATATAGATCTGGTAGTCCACAGTGGAGTTGAAAAGTGAAATTATGAAGTATCCGAGAGAAAAACTAAAAAGATCAGAGGACTGAAGATTAAAGCTTAACTTGAGACCTTAGAAATGAAGCTGGCAAAAAAAGAAAAGGATATTTATTGAAATAATAAAAGCTAATGATTGAACACTTAGGTGAATGGCAAGGCTACTACAGGGATATCAGTAAAACCTTAGTTGTACAAAAAAAAAAAAAAAGGAAGAAACAAGAAAAAAATATATTTGTGTATGTTCCAAAAGACATTGCAGGGACTTGGTGGAAAAGCCGTGGGTTTGGAGTGAGAACCGGAGATGGAGAAGCAGACTTGCGATGAGCTTGTGCCTCTTCCTCTGTGCCCTTTACCGTCCAAGGGAAGACAACGACGTTAAAAAGCGCTTGGGAAGAAAGGCGGTAAAACGTTTTGGAGTTTCGGCCACTGTCCCTAAACTAGCTTCTGGGAGATATTTAGGGGCCTCTGGCATAAAAATCTGGGATGATCACAGGCTCATTACTGAATATTGAGAAATTTTCTTTTGCCCCGTACGGTAGCTTCCCCGCTTTGAAGAACCTCAGGACGTGGAGCTCCCCAGCAGGAGCCACAGTGTTCCCCTTCCAGACCCTCCGCGGCCCACCCAACGCAGGAATGCAGCCGAATGGAAATCAGCAGAGCCCACCCCAACACAGGAATCCGGCGGGCCGCGAAATTCTCCAGGAGGCGGGGAAGCGAAAGACCTTCCGCTTCAACCAATCAGCCGAGAGGGAATCCTGACACACCCTCTTTTCGCCTACCTATCAGCATCTAGCTCGATGGGCCGGACCCATTCACAGGAGAAAACCGCCTTTTAAATTTTATTTGTATAGGTTTTTCCTCCATCGTCATTCTAGGCCAACCCAGAAACTGTGCCCAAAAAAGAAAACTGAGTGTAACAATTCCAAAGCTAGGCAGTCTGGCGGTGAGAAGCGAAACTATAGACCTCTCCATCAACGTGATTCCAGGAGGGACGGGGAAAGGGAAAAGGTTCCAGAGGACAAACTACAACTCCCAAGAGTCCTTGCGCGGATCGGCACGCCCTGGGCGAGGGGGGCGGGACATTGTAAGGACACAGGCTGAGTCAAGGGGCTACGCTCCGGTTTCCCGACCGAGAACCATTGACTGGGCGGGGCTGGAGGTAGGCGGGGCGGCGGCCTTGCAAACTCTCCAGCTTTGTGTCCTCCTCCCTCCCGCTTCTCCGCCAGAGACGTTGAGGGGGCGTGGCCTGCGCGGGGGCTGGTGGGGGTGCAAGCGCCGCGGGACGTGGGTGACGCGGCTGCTTCCAGCTCAGCGGTGTGTGAGGTGTCACGGCCCCGCCGGTGATTGGCTGTTGGCAAGCGAGTACGCAGCGGCAGTTGGTCGCCGGCCGCACGGAGGGAGAGCCGGGGCGGGCGGGGGGGATAAGGGGCAGCAGTGGCGGCGGCGGCGGCAGCGGCTGGAGGAGGCGGGCGCGGACGAACCGGCGGCCGCGGCAGCAGCGGCAGTCCCCAGAGTCCTCCCGTGAAGCGTCCCCGCCGGCGCCGCCGTGGGCCCCTGGGAGAGGGAGGCCGGTACGCGAGCCGCCGAGGAGCCGCTCCCCAGGCGCCGCAGTCCTTCGGACTCTCGCTCCCATCCTCGCACTCCTGCTCCGGCTCCTCCATCTTGGCCTCGGCGGTGGCGACTGCCGGGAGGATGTGCCGCCTTCTGGCCGGGGGAAGAAGGAGGAGAAGATGAAGAAGTACCAGCGGGCCTTGGCCCTGGTCTCCTGCCTCTCTCTCTGCTCGCTGGTTTGGTGAGTAGCCTCGGCCGCCCTGGATTTTCCCCGGGGCGGGGGGAGGGGAAGGGGAGCAGCCCGGGTCACACCCCCACGTCCTCTCGACTTTTAGGGTGCGGGTCTCCAGGGTCCCCAGGAAGCGACTCTCCCGCCGACCGGCCTGGCAGGGCTCTGCAGAAATTTTCACGGTGTATTTTGGGATTTACGGACCCTGACGGGAGAGAAGGGGGCCTGGGTAGAGGGGACCGCCTAAGCGCCTTTGTGTTCAGCGACCCGCGGCTTGGGGGCGGCGGGTGTTGGCGGGCGGCGTTGAGGTAGGTGCTGGGGGAGTCGCGCGAGTTCCGGGGCAGCGCCGGCTTCGGCGGGGCGGTGAGGGCAGTACGCGCGTCGGCGGTGACCCGCTCCCGACAGGCAAACGCGCGTGGTCCCGGGGCGGGTTGTGCGGTGCGCGCCGGAGTCCGGGCCGTTTCTCGCAGGCTTTGGCCCCCAGCGCACGGGGGGCTGCTGCTCTGGGAGGCCGAGGAAGCGCTTTTTCCCGGAGGGCTGGGTGACGGGGAGCCCTTGGTTTAGAAGAGAGTGTGTCTCAGGTATGGTTTGTCCGGTACTTTCCGTGGTGTGGCTTGGGTGATGTCCCTTAGTAATGGGAAGACGAGTCCTGTGTTTGGAAGGCGGGAAGACTGCTTTGTCTCTGAAGTTTGTGGAGTTTCTGTTAATTCCTGCCACATTTGGGGTTTTTGTTTTGTCTTGTTTGTTTTGAGGAGCAAAGAGAGCTTGTAGGTCAAAGGGTTGCTGTCCTTGTACTTGGGAAAGTTATTCGTCCCTCCTGGGGAATTTCTTCGGAGATGTGTGACACTTGCTGACTTAAAAGGTGCTTCTTTATTCAAAGAGATTTGCTGTTTATTAAACGTCAGATAAACCAAGTTCCTGGTTTAGCTTATGTCTGCAAAACACCAGCAGTATTTTTATTTTTAGGGGTGGCCAGTGAATTCCAAACACCCTGAAGTGGTAGAGTTCCTGCTCACAAAAGGTGGTACTTTAATAAGAGGAAAAGAAAACACTTGCCTGGCTGAGGAGCTTTGATTGGAAGGTTGATAGATGTTTTAGAGAAAAAGAAATTTGGCCTTTTGCCTTTCCTTCCTGACCTTCTTAATAAGATCAGTGTCACCCCTCGCTCCCTCGCTTTTAGTATCTTGTTGGGTGGCAAGAAGTGTGGGTAGGTGATGAGTCCACTTACCTCATTTTAAATTTAAATTTGCAGGTGACAGACCAAAACCTTGTATTCATACCTACCCCTTTCTGGGGACGGCTGAGTTGTTCGTAGATTATGTCTTCCTCTTTCTCCTTGATCTTGCCCATCTTTAGAGCACTTTCAGGAATGACTCACAGGACAAGAGGTTACACTTCATTCAAATTTAAGATGCACCAGTTATCTCTGATTTTTTAAATGGAAATATATTGGACACATTGTGTAAACTTAAGGTGTAGAACATGTAGGTTTGATACATTTATATATTGTAATATGTAGCAGTAGCATCTCTATCATGTCACATGATTATCTGTTTTCTGTGTGTGCAGCTGGAATAAAAATCTAATTGCTTAGCAAGTCTGATGATTGTCATCCAGTATCGCTGTCTGTGTTCACTACACAGGGCATTAGACCTCCAGCACTTAGCTTACTAGTGGTAAGTTTGTATCCTTAAACGTGATTTTTAAAAATATGTATATAATTGAACGGTGGAGATTAAAGCAAGTATTACAGTGTAGTTCTTAAAATCATTTGTGGATTTAAATTAACCATTCCTCTATTACTTTGTGTAATTTCTGGCTATCTTTTGCCTAAGCTAACTTCAGTATGATTTCTGACCTGTTAGCAACAATAAGGATATGACCTGTTACGGGGGTCAAATATCAGTCAGTCTGGTATTGAAAATAGTAGTCATGAAGTTCTGTAAAGTCTGTGGACTCCCACTGTGAAAAATGGATGTTGAGGGTTTAAGTAAAGAGTGAAAAGTTTGCTAAGGTGGCTCAGTTGGTTGGAGCCTTGTCCTGTGCACCAGAAGGTCGCGAGTTCCATCCCCAGGGAGGGCACACAACCTGGTTGCAGGTTTGATTCCCCCCTCAGGGCACGTATGGGAGGCAACGAATCCATGCCCCTCCTCCCCCTTCCCCTCTCTAAAATCAGTAAACATATCCTTGGGTGAGGATCAAAAAAAGTGAAAAGTTTAAGAAACTTTAGCCTAAGAAACATTTGGGTTAGTATATTTTGAGATATGTTTGGACTACCAAATAGACATTTTAGTTATTCTTTACTGAAGCCATTAAAATACGATATTTAGGGTTGAATTTTTTTGGAAAGGCGATGGTGAGATTGGGGAAGAGGATTGGCGCATGGTGGGACTGGAAAGTGCATGTCTTGGTCCCTGAGACTTCGTTGGGAAATTGAAATGCTGAAGTGACAGCGCTGGCCCAGCCGCAGCCTGATCTGTGTGCCAGTTCCTGACATCTCCGTTCCCGCCTAGGTACCTCAGGCCGTTGTGAGGCTAGAGGAGAGGTTGCAGAAAAGTTGGTAAGCGCCTCTTAGTAGCCAGTTTTGTCATCTTTATCATTTGTAAATTGTCCTGATATTTGTGGTAAGCTGAACTGTTTTGTACATTTATGAATGCTCTATGTCGATATTGCAGTACTCTAAGGTTCTCCCCCTCCTACCAGTATGACTGAACTTTGTTAGTCACCTAATTTGTATGGCCATCCGTTCGGAGATCTTGGTCCTGTCTCCCCTCTCCTTTTGTCTTTCCTGCCTAGGGTGCTAACTTTAGATTATTTTAGCAGAAAACCCATCCCCTCCATCTCACTATTCATTCTGGGTGCCATGTTTTATTTCTGCGCACTTCATGTGATTCCTTAGCAGTCAGTAGAGAGTATTTTAGACGTACATGTACTATGGCGGCCGCACAGAGTAACATGGCAGCTGATATTTATTGTCAGCTGTCTCTGTGTCAAGCCTGTATTGTGTTGGCATCTTTAATCTTCACAACAACTCTATGACGTAAGCATTATTTTAACCTCATTTTGCATTTTGTAGTGAAGGAAGTAGAGAAATAACTTGGCTAAAGTTAACCAGCTGATACATTTTGGAGCTTGGATTTAACTTAGCAGCCTGATCCACAGCCAAGGACGCCGAGGGTGGGATCCTTTCACAAGAGGTCTGCAGGCCTGTGTCCGACTCCCGTCACTCACTGGCTGTGTGTCCTTGGACCTGTTACGGAATTTCTTTGAATCTTAACTGTTGTATCCTAAAGTTGGGAAAATAAATCATGTCACACCTCACAGGTTATTAGGAGGATGAAATGAGATGACATATGACAGCTTTGTAAAACCGTGCGGGTTTATCATCTACATGTTTCCTCATAAAATCATTCAACAAAGATTTTTCTCATGCTTATTATGACCCAGATGTTTTGGGCATGGAAAACCTTAAAACAGGTGGCCAGCCTTTTCCAGTTTTTGTAGTAAAAGCCCCACATCCCAAGAATCCTCTCCATTAGTTTCCTGTTGCTGCTGTGACGTTATCGAACATGGGGTGGCCTAAAACAGCACACACGTCATCCTACCGTTCTGGAGGTCAGGAGTCCAAACTGCGTCCTCACTGGGCTCAAGCCAGGTGTCGGCAGGACTGGCTCCTTCTGGAGGCCCTGAGAGGAAGAACCTGGGTTTTGGCTCATTCAGCTTCTGGGGGCTCCCTGCCTCCTGTGGCTCTGCCTCACAGCCACCCGCCCCCACCCCCAGCCCGCGGCAGCCCCCACGTCTGCCCCCCGCTCGGACCCCCCTCTCGCCTCTCGCCCCACACCGGGGCTCGCGTGGCCACCGTGGGCCTCCCCAGATGGCCCGGGGGTGTCTCCCCGTCTCGCAATTCTGAATGGAATCACACCAGCAAAGACCTCTATACCACGTAACGTTACCGTTTTCGGGGATTAGGGCTTGGGCCTCTCTGGGAGCCATTACACAGCCTAACATGCCATCCCTCAGTCCTGGCGACCTGGGAAGTTTGATCACCACCTGAAAGAGGAGAAGGACTTGGTCCGCGCCTTAAACAGTGGATAGTCAAACGTTTTGAGTATGTCTCCCAATCAGTAAAACCGTGCGCATGCACCTTTAATATGCACTTGTTTATAAGTTGTATATGCATGTGCCAATATAATGGTAGCGTATTAGTGTGCTAATAATATACAATTTTACATACTAAATTATGTAAATGAGAAAGAGAACTAGCAGACTTCTGTGAACGGTATCTCTTTGCTCATTTAAAAGGTAGCAGTTTTCAGTGACGGATGGGCCTGCCGGACTGGATTGTGTCGCGTCGCACTGTGGGTGCAGAACTGCCTGTGCGGCCTGGGGCCTCAGCCCCGCCGTTTTCTGACCGGTTGTGCTGGGTTTTGGTGGCTAAAACAAAGCAGCTGCTTTCATGGAGACGGTTGCGGTTGAGAGAATGTGTGCTAGGGTCTAAAATTATGGCTCTGAAACAAAGCTTAAAGAGAGAAGAAAAGTTAGTTTTTTAAAAAACGGGGCAGCTAGAAGAATTGAAGGTGCTCAAAAAGCAATGGAGGCGGCGCCGTGGAGGCGAATGCGGCATCCAAGTGGAGACGTTGCGCAGGCACTGAGCATGTGGCGCTCAGTGCAGGTCGCGTCTGGGCCAGGGTGGCCCTCGGAGAGGGTCATTTTGAAGCAGAACCTTTGACTCCCCAGGAGCTTCTGCATGTACTTGGAATAACGGAGGGTGTGAGGCCAAGGGAGGAGACTGGTTTGAAGTGAAAGGCGGAAAGAGGTGTAAGGAGTCCATCCGAATGGGCAGCTGTGTAAAGCGTCTTAGGTAGGGCTGGAAAGCTGGGGAACGGGCAGAAGGGCCTTGTGTGCAAAACAGGGACGTGACTGATAAGCTTTTGGGAGTGGAAAGCAGAAGATGTTTGGAGAGTGGGTCGGTGTGGCAGCCGGAAGAGAGAGGAGAGGCTGAACAGCCTTGC